AGGGTTTGTTGAAGGTTTTGGAGCTAGTAGTGGAAGAGCCAGGGTTAAAACCACTAGCTTTTGTGTTGTGGCTTAGTTTTGATTAGAAATGAGCAACTCCATTGCATTTTTTTTTCATTCAGAATAAAATAGTTTTGCTCAGTTATGGAAAACTGTCAACTCTAGAAAGAGAAAAGCTGAGAGCTTTCAACTGGAAATAAGATTGTAGACCATCTTCTAAGGAAGTTAAGTAGGTTTTAATTTGGTAGTTCTTTGGTTTTGAGTTAAGGATTTTTTTTCTTGTTGAGTAGGTGCATCTTTAGAAAGTGATTTATTAGCTTCTTAGGGTTATCTGAATTTTTTTTTTTTTTTAATTTTTTTATTTATTTATGATAGTCACACAGAGAGAGAGAGAGAGATAGGCGGAGACACAGGCCGAGGGAGAAGCAGGCTCCATGCACCGGGAGCCCGACGTGGGATTTGATCCCGGGTCTCCAGGATCACGCCCTGGGCCAAAGGCAGGCAACAAACCGCTGTGCCACCCAGGGATCCCGTGGGTTATCTGAATTTATTAGAGGTTGGAGAAATCCCTAACCACCAAAATTTTTTCTGGCTATAGGTTTTGGGATTTAGCCTACAAAATGTAACCTAACTGGAACTTTTATAATGGTGGGCCATATTTTTTTTTTGAGGACCTTCAGGTCTCTTGCAAGACACCTATTAGATGTGGTCTTGAACAAATCACTTAATTCCCATGTACCCTGAGGCAGCACTAAGAAATTCTAGGATTTAAAGGGAGCAGTTTTGAAATCCTTTCCTATGTTAATAAGGAGAACTTACTTTAGTGGTGAGAACTTGGTTTATTTCATGGCTTTGAAGGTGTTTGTGGCATCATTTCCTCTTCTATCCTGGAATTCAGAGATGAGCTGCTGAATGATGATATCCCACTAACTGAGCAGTCAGTAGTTGGTCCTTTGGTTGCATATGATGCAGTTAATTGTTTCAAGACGGGACTGATGGCAGCTACTGAAATGAATTCCTGCTAATGAACTGATTTCAATCATTATGTACTAAAATATGAAAATCTTTATTTTAGTACCAAACGATTCCCTGGTTATGATTCAGAAAGCAAGGAATTCAATGCAGAAGTTCATCGAAAGCACATCATGGGTCAGAATGTTGCAGATTATATGCGTTACCTAATGGAGGAAGATGAAGATGCTTACAAGAAACAATTCTCTCAATATATAAAGAACAACGTTACTCCAGACATGGTAAACATTTTTACTAAAAATGTCTGTATTGGGTTTACTATTTGGTTTCGTGGATATATTTTATTTCAGGGTTACAGTTAAAAGTTGAACATGAGTATGTTAAGAGGTATAGACAGACTCAAGCAGTTCCTTAAAATGGAATGACATGAAATTGGAAAATAGGGTGAGGGTAAGTTAAGAGTCAGATGGGATAAGAATAATTACAAAGAGTCTTAACATGCTTTTAGGAATTTTTTAGATAGTGAAGGGTGGCAGACTTCAAGCATCTAAATCTAAAGATGGCTTTTACACATTTTGGCTGTTTTAAGTTTGCAGACTTCATTCCTGTAGTCATAGTTAAAAGTCATCTGTCTGATTGGAGATGCTAGTTACTAAATTCATTTTGAAGCAATGTGGAGGAAAGGTTCTTTTCTGTAAAGCAAGTGAAGTTCTATGTTCAGGACTTTGTGAATATCTCAGGCTATGCACATGGAGAGTTTGTACTGAGTAGATGACTAGTTCTGCATGACTTTGCAAATAAGAGTTTAATGTTGGAAAATTTATCAGCCTAAAGTTGTATCTTTGAGGCATCTATTGACACATTGTAGTAATGGAAGAGGATAGGCATAGAGCACAAAAATAGCACTGCTTATTATAAAATTATGCAACTGTAGAGTTGTAGATGAATTGATGGTTATATATCAAAGGTTCTGTTAGTGCATAGTTTCTATTTTGATACAGTTTTGATTATGGAAAAAAAATTTTGAGAGCACATGGTGAGGGAGGGGCTAAGGGAAGGCTTCACGGCCAGCATGGAGCCCAATAATGAGGTCTCAATCTCAAAACCCTGAGATCATGACCTGAACTGAAATCAGAGTTGGATGCTTAACCAAATGAACCACCCAGGCACCCTGTGAAAATTACTTTATTTATAAATTTATTTTTATTTTTTTTAAAAAATTATTTATATATTCATGAGAGGTGTGCATGCGCGTGCGCGCGCACACACACGCAGAGATGTTAGCAAAGGGAGAAGCAAGGCTCCGTGCAGGGAGCCTGATGCAGGACCTGATCCCAGATCTCTAGGATCACGCCCTGAGCCTAAAGCAGACGCTCAACTGTTGAGCCACCCAGGTGTCCCTATTTTAAAATAGAGTTGTTAGGGACACCTGGGTGGCTCTGGTTGAGCAGCTGCCTTTGGCTCAGGGTGTGATCCGGAGTCCAGGGATCAAGTCCTGCATCGGGCTCCCTGCAAGGTGCCTGCTTCTCCCTCTATGTCTCTGCCTCTCATGAAATAAAATCTTAAAAAAAAAAAAAAAGAGTTGTAATTAGAAAAGATAATTGCCTGTTATTCATATGCTTAGTTACAGTCTAGGGATCAATAAATACATAGCTTGAGTTTTTGAGCTAGGAAAATGGTAATAATGCAAATGCATGTTAATTTTCAGAAATCCATACTTTTTTTGTTACTATTGGCATTGCCCTCATTCACTCTGGTAAATAGATCTTTTACTTGTGACTATAATTCTACTTGGCCTGCATAATTTTTCTTCTGAAGACCTCTCTTGCTCTGGTAATGTCACACTTGTTCACAACTTTTCAAATTCCCAAGCTGCTTTGAGCTCCCACTTCATGTTTTCCTAAATATATGGTATACTTCAGCTGGACCACTCTTAGGCTAATGTACTTTTCCCAGCTAGCTCATTAATTTGATCTTTGGAGGCCTCTTATGCGTGCCTGCTGAAATCCTCTATAGACATCTGACATGTCTTCTGAGGAAGTGGTCTTTACCTAAACTCATGTTCTTATCTATATGCATGGTTGTGTATCCTATTTGTCTTTTGGAAGGAATGGACCAAATTGCTTAGATTTATTAAATAACTGTATTTGAAGTCATCAAATGGATTTGTTAAATACAGTGGAAAGCTGTAATAGAGTGCTTAAAAGAGGTAGAGAAATTAAAGGAATTAAAGTAATTCCTAAAGGAAGGGATTTAGGTAGTTGAGGTCTCATGCAGTGTTTGCATTCTTTTCATTTGCTCAGTTTTCTACAAATGCATGTAGTAGTCATATTTTCTTCATAATGAAGGAGTAGTTTTAGAGATTTGAATACTTTGGTTTATTCTTTGGGGGGGCTGTAATTGTTACTAGATTTTGATAGTGAACATTCAGGCATTTTATAGCTGCTTCATGACCTGCTCTACCATAGAATCAATAGTCATTTATTTGGAGGAGGTAATTGAAACAATTCCAAGAATTTCAGCATTAGTTTTTGATGGGTTTTAGAACATAATTCTCATTAAGAGATAATTGGATGGTGTTTGAGCATTTTGTAGGAAAATTCAAACCTTCTGTTTCCATAGACACCTAATATTAGTAGATATAAGAGGTCCCTGGTATGTAGTTCTGGGAGTAGTACCGAGAGACCTATTAGGTACTGATGGAAAATACAAATCTGAGGAATGTGGTAGAAAAAAATGAATTAATAGCAAATGCTTGTTGGCCCCATATCCTGTTCATCTTAATATCTTAAATACTTTGTTTTAGCACAAATCCTCCCCTGAATAAAAGAATTCGGGTCAGACAGTATTTTAAATGAACATAAATGTTTTTGCAGAAACCTGTTGGCTCTTGAGTGACTTAAAGAAGTAAAGCTGAATTCCTTAGAAATAAGTGGACATTTTTTGAGTATGAGTTTTGTGAATAGTGTCAATTCACACTGCCTCTGGAAATTTCTTAGGAAAATGTGGGTTACATGCAGAAATTTGAGATACCAGTGTTGACCCGGTTTAGTTCCCTTTGACAGTCTGGTTTAGGGACAAAATTGAGCAAGTGGTAGAATGCAATATGTTACGTGACTGTATAGGGCATGTGAAATGAAACCAAGTACTGTTTGCTTTGCTTTCTTTCAGATGGAGGAGATGTATAAGAAAGCTCACGCTGCTATACGAGAGAATCCCGTCTATGAGAAGAAGCCTAAGAAAGAAGTTAAGAAGAAGAGGTATGCATCTTACTATTACTGTCTTTTTAAGAGAGGTTGGGAGGAATTTCTTGCCTTGTTTGGTCTTTATCAAACTCATTGAAGTTGTGCAAACTCGATCACTAGCTCTGCATGATGTTGCAGAAGTGAGGGGAACCAGGTTTGCTAAAGTAATTGTGGTGATAGAAATGTATTAGCCTCAGAAGGTACTTACTGAGCTGACCTATTCTATCCCATTACAGTGTAACTACCAGTTACAGCATTTAAAAAACTTTTTTTAACCAGTTCCTGCATTTTGAAAGTTCCTTTAAGATCAGAAGTATGTATTAGAACTTGGATTGTTTTGACCTGATCATAGTCTTTTCCAATCAAAGTTAATTTTACTTTGTTTTGCAGGTGGAACCGTCCTAAGATGTCTCTTGCCCAAAAGAAAGATCGGGTAGCTCAGAAGAAGGCAAGCTTCCTTAGAGCTCAGGAGCGGGCTGCTGAGAGCTAATAAACCAAACCATAATTTTCTATGAAGATTTTTCAGATAAAGCCAATAATAAACTTATTCACCAAGCAACTTTGTGTTAAACTCTTGTTAATGAAAGTGTAGGAGATACGTGAAGTACAAAAGTAGAGGAGTTAAGTTTTTCTTCTTCAAGAAACAAATATAACTGCATATTGACTCAAAGTTCACACCGGCTTCTCAGGCTTCTGTTTTTCCTAACAGTTATCCCTTCAAGTGTGACGTCCAGCTCCCTCTAAACAGTCTGTCAAGCAACAGACCAACCATCCACTAGGAAATATTTCTTCCATTCATTTATTGTAACCAGATGGCTAGTGGGAAGAAAAAGTACCTTCAAAGTACACAATTTTAAAGTAAGCAGAACTGGTGCTAATCAATGGCTTTAATTTTGAGAGAGAGCTGTCCAATGAAGTTCACATAACGTTCACTTTAATCAGGTGAAACCTTTGAGCAGAATATCCTTCAAAAGAAGTGTTCATTTTATGGAGATGTTGAAAGGTACATGCCAGATCTTAATAAACATGAAAACAACATTAAAAGGGCAAATATTAACTTGCATATCAAGTTTACATGAAAAAATTTGCATGCCTCTTAAGAAATAGCCCTTTGGCCAACAGGAAATACTGTTCAAAAATGGAAAATTGTGAACTAAAAAGTTCCATGATTTCAGAGTCTGGCTCCTAATGTCCTATTTCCCCATAGCTCAAATTCAGTTACATGGATCTGGATTGGGTTGATGGCCTTAATACCAGTTTTGGAAAAAAATCAGTTTTGATGGACTATAGCACATTGACAACTAAGAAGGACCCATGAAAATGAGGATGACGAATGCTCATCTAGTTTCAGCCTCTAAAATTGGCAATTCTATATTGTCAAGTAGAACATTTTCTTACTGATTAAGAGGCTAACAGCCACTCAATATTCTGAAGCCATATAACATTTGATGTCTAAGTGTTTTAAGTAGAAAAAAAACCATGCTATTAACCCAACATCTGTTTGTAAAGGAGTAACTTGACCTTTGCAGTCTTAATTTCTGTTAATGTGCAAACTTTACCATGCTAAGACTTTTTAAATGTATATTTTTTTTCAACAGCTTCAATGCAAAAATGTTTCCAGCAATGGTATTTTGGCTGACAAATCTACAAAATACTCCACTGTCGATGTTTATGGAATGAGGCTTTTCACAGCATTATTTTAGGTCATTAGTTAAAATAGTTACACAGTGAATACTGGAAAATCTACCAGGGCTTCTAACAGCAGGAATGAAATCTTTGGACCTGGTCATCTTTTACCTCCTGCCATTATTTCAATCAACTTGTATCTTAAGATGATGGCTTCTTAAAACCAGGGGAAGGGGGGTTTTGTGTAGCTGACAGGGACTTGAATCAGAAGCCTTATTTTTTTTTAATGCTCAAAGTTTTTCCTTAAAATTTTGAAGTTTCCTATAATGCTCACGATGTCCAAATGAACTAAGAGTCATTTGTATAGGAAATTTTCTTCCACAGTAATGTTTTTAGGTTATTTAGTATCAAAGAATGTTCCATTTCCATTTGATTTGCAGTGACTTTGAGAGCAATACAAGAATAAAGCTGCTTTTCCAATTCCTCACGAATTTCACTTGGAGCACCACGCAATAGGTAGTCTTTGAGTAACTGACAGGCTTTTGCCAAGTTTGGTTGTATCACTTCTGAAGTACACTTCATTGTACTTTGATCACAGCTAGTTCGACAATCTGTGCCATAAACACAGTCCAAATCAGACTCACAGTGACGATCCTTCATAAGTTCTTTCAGGTTTGTCTCTGGTACAATTTTTCTCATGTCCACCATTTTCAAATCATATTTATCATTATATCCTAGGTTTTTGGCACTAATATCACACATAAGGAAGTTTCCATAGGGGCCGTGAAAAACATCTTCCACAAATTCTAGAAGTCCTATGGCTATTTTAGCCTTTCTAGGCCATGATGGTGTGAATAACTGGTCCATGCTTCTTCTGAACCCAGATGGAATAAAAAGTTCAATGACCCATGGAAGGCTTATTCCATAAAGAGAGGTATATTCAACACTTTCCATCACATAGAGATCACCACAGAATCCCATTAATTTGGGAGTATGTTCTTTATCTTGAAGTATCACCATGAGAAGAAACTCATTTAGTTGAAGAAGTGCCCATGCTGACTTTGCTTCTCCCAAGGAAACTTGGCCATCTTTGTCTCCATCAGCCACGGTCAAGATGAGATTAACCAGTTCAGAGAGGTTTCCTTGGTCACCCAATTTTGCCTATAAAGGTAAGAATTTAGCTAAATACAGAAAGTTTGCAAAAATATCTCATGTAATATACATACTAACTTTATATGGGAATTATGCTAAGTAATAATTTTGTTAGTCTCCATAAAGGTACTTAATACAGCTCCAATTTATGATGCTTTTACTAAGAAGTATGTTTTATATAATTGTAGTAAAACGCACTCTTGAGTATATTTGTTTAAGAAATGGCAAGCTTCTTGGTCCCTGTTGATAGTTACTCAACACACTAATTCTATCTTACTCATATATTTACTTGCAAAATTGCAGTGTAATGTGCTCATATCCAAAGTTATAATAAGGGTCAACTGAAAATTATTTTCTCCTATTTTGTAGTTAACACATTAACAACTATTTTGTTCAAGTTGTATTGTTCCAATGATGAAAGTTAAAAAGTATTTCCCTGTGAAGGTTCTTAGGATAAAATAGTCCGAAAATGTAAACTTAAAGATTTTGAATGAAAATATGACAGCAATAAAAGAAAAGAGACTTTTTATAAAATTTTAACTACTTTTATCTTTTAATATACTTAATCTTTGTATGATTATTTAATTTTTAAAAAATAATTTGCTATCAGATATGTATACTGATTTTAGCCCTTCTCCCACATTTAAAAAAATGTGTATCAGCTATAGTGTCAAACTATAGAGCAGCTCACCTACTTAATGAACTCCCCTTTCATATCTGGACACTTTATTATAAATAATGTAAACATCTTCTATACATTTTTGAATTGTTTCAAGATGGAGCCCCTGATATGTTAAAGAATAGCAACACTTTTGTGGCTTAGGATGAGGTCTTGCCAACTCTTCCAGAAGAATGTACCACTTCATAATAGTAACATGGGAATGGATATACTTACTTTAAAGAGACTGTAGACCATTTCTTTGAATTTCTGTACAGTAGTTCCCCTCGTTGGCTTATCAAATAGCACTATTTCCTTCCTTGGTTCCAATTCAGTCCCAAAATCAAGGTGAAGTGCTTGTTCCATTTGACATTTCACAACACCTGGTAGATTACCCCAAATCCCTAAATACATCTATGTGGAAAAAGAATGACAAATCACTCTTTAGGCTGAGTAGAATTATACACCACTGTATTTTTAGTATCTTCTTCCTCTTACAAAAACACAAAAGTAAGTAACAAAACACAGAGATTTAGCTTTTTTCTATAACTTTTTGATTATAAAAGCAATGCATGCCTAAATATATACATTTTTGACCATGGATCAATTTTATTTATTTATTCCAATTTTTAAATTGTGGTAAAATATTAAAAACATAATTTACCATCTTCACCATTTTTAGTGTACAGTTCAATGGTATTACATTCACAATGCAGCCATCACCACCACCCTTTTGCAGCACTCCATCTTGTAAAACTGAATCTCCATACCTATTAAATAATAACTTCCTGTTCCCCCTTTCCCCTTTAGCCCTTGGCATCACCATTCTGCTCTCTGTCTTTATAATTTTGACTAAGTATCTCATATAAATGGAACCATATAAAATTTCTCTTTTTGTGACAAACCTGAAAGAATTTATAAAGGATCGTCACTGTGAGTCTGATTTGGACAGTATTTATGGCACAGATTATTTTACTTAGCATTACATTCTCAAGATTCATCTGTATCGTATTGTGTCAGAATTTCCTCCTTTTTAAACCTGAATAATAGTCCATTGTATGTATATACCATATTTTGCATTTCTTTTTTTTTTCATATTTTGCATTTCTATTCCCTGCTGATCAACACTTCGATGCTTCGTTTTTTAGCTATTGTGAATAATGCTGATCTGAACTTAGGTATACAAATATCTTTTGGAGACTGCTTTCAATTTATGTACCCAGAAGTAAAATTGCTGGATCATAAGAACAGTATATATTTTTTTTAATTTTTATTTATTTATGATAGTCACACACACACAGAGAGAGAGGCAGAGACACAGGCAGAGGGAGAAAGCAGGCTCCATGCACCGGGAGCCCGACGTGGGATTCGATCTCGGGTCTCCAGGATCGCGCCCTGGGCCAAAGGCAGGCGCCAAACCGCTGCGCCACCCAGGGATCCCAAGAACAGTATATTTTTAATATTTTGAGGAACTGCTATATTGTTTTCTGCAATGCCTGTGCCATTTTACATTCCTTCTAACGGTACACAAAGGTTCCAATTTCTTTCCATCCCTGTCAACGCTTGTTGACAAAGAAATTTCCTTTCTTTGATAGTAGCCATCCTAATGGGTATGAAGTGGTATGTCACTGTGATTTTGATTTGTATTTCCTTAATGATCAAGTGATGTTGAGCATCTATCTTTTCATGTACTTATTGGCCATCTGTATATCTTTTTTTTTTTTTGAGAAATGCCTATTCAAGTCCTTTGCATATTTTTAAATCTTGTTTTTATTGTTGAATTTTTTTTTAAATTTTATTTATTTATGATAGTCACAGAGAGAGAGAGGGAGAGAGGTAGAGACATAGGCAGAGGGAGAAGCCGGCTCCATGCACCGGGAGCCAGACGTGGGATTCGATCCTGGGTCTCCAGGATCACGCCCTGGGCCAAAGGCAGGCGCCAAACCTCTGCGCCACCCAGGGATCCCTTTATTGTTGAATTTTAGGCGTTCTTGCTCTCTCTCATTCTCTCTCTCTCTCTTTTTTAGTAAACTTTACACACAACGCAGGTCTCGAACTTATGACCCTGTGATTAAGAGTTACATGCTCCAGCACCTGGGTGGCTAAGTTAAGCGTCTGTCTTCAGCTCAAGTCATGATCCCAATGTCCTGGGATTGAGTCCTGTATTGTGCTCCTGGTCAGGGAGTCTACTTCTCCCTCTGTCCCTCCCCTATAATTGTGCTCATGCTCTCTTTCTTTCTCTCTCACAAAAATAAATAAAATCTTAAAAAAAAAATGTTACATGCTCTACCAACTGAGCTGGTCAGGTACCCCAGGAGTTCTCTATATATTTTAGATATTAATCCCTTATTGGATATATGATTTGCAAATATTTTCTTGCATTCTGTAGATTTGATACTTTTTGATGCACAAAATTTTTAAATTTTCATTAAGTACAGATTTGTCTTTTTCTTTCGTTGCTCATGCCTTTGGTGTCAGAGCCAAGAAATCATTACCAAATCCAATGTCATGAAGCTTTTACCCTATATTTTTTTCTAAGAGTTTTATGGTTTTAGTTCTTACATTTAAGTCTTTGATCTGTTTTGACTTAATTTTTGCATATGGCATTAGGTAAGCATCCCACTTTGTTCTTTTTGCATGTGGCTATCCAGTTTTTGCCAACACCATTTGTTGAAAAGTTGGTCCTTTCTCTAGGGGTGCTTGGGTAGCTCAGTTGGTTGAGCATCTGCCTTCAGCTCAGGGCCCTGGGATTGAGCTCCGCATTGAGCCCCACATTGGGCTCCCTCCTTTGCAGAGAGCCTACTTCTCCCTCTGCCCTCCCTTCCCCCACAACCTGTGCTGTCTCACACACACTCTCTCTCAAATACATAAATAAAACCTTAAAAAAAAAGTCCTAAAAAAAATAAAATAAAAAAAAAAAGTCCTTTCTCTATCAAATGGTCTTAGCACTCATCAAAAATCATTTGACCAAATATGTGAGGCTTAGTTCTGGGTTCTCTACTCTATTTATCTATATGTCTGTCTTCATTCCAGTACACACTGTCTTGATTACTGTACCTTTGCAGTTAAGTTTTGAAATCAGAAGTATGAGTCTTCCAGCTCTGTAGTTCTTTTTCACAATGGTTTAGCTATTTGGGGTCCTCTGACAGTCTGTATTCAAATTTTTGGGTGGGTTTTTCTACTTCTGCAAAAAATGTCATCAGGATTTTGAAAGGGATTTCACGAATCTGTAGATCACTTTGGGTAGTGATCTTAACAATACTAAGTCTTCCATCCATGAACACGGACTGTGTTTCCATTTGTTTGTATCTTTAATTTCTTTCAGCAATACTTTGAAGTATTCATTGTACAAGTCCTAAAACCTCCTTGGTTAAGTTAATTTCTAAGTAGTTTATTCTTTTAGATGCTACTGTAAATGGAATGGTTTTCTTAATTTTCTTTGTGGATTGTTCATTGTTAGTGTATAGGAATAGAACTGATTTTTGTGTGTTGACTTTGTTTCCAGCTACTTTGCCGAATTTATTAGCTCTAACAACTTTTTCCTACATAAAATATTTTTCTATATAAAAGATCATGTCATCTGCAAGCAGAGATAATTTTACTTTTTCCTAATTTGGATACCTTTATTTCTCTTTCTTGTCTGATTTGGCTAGAACTTCCAATATTATGTTGAATACAAGTGGCAAAAGTGGGCATCCTTGCCTTGTTCCTGATTTTAGAGGAAAAACTTTCATACTTTTACCATTGAATATAATATTAGCTATTGATTTTTCATATATGGATTTTATTATGTTGAGGTAGTTGCCTTCTATTCCTACTTTGTTGAGTGTTTTTATCATGAAAGGGTACTGAATTTTATCAAATACTTTTCCTATATCAACTGAGATGATCCTGTGGGGTCACTGTTGATCTGTCGTATTAAACTGATTGACTTTTATATATTGAACCATCCTGGCATTCCAGGAATAAATCCCATTTGGTTGTGGTGTATGATCTTTTTAATATGCTCAATTTGGCATGATAGTATTTTGTTGGGGATTTTGCATTAATGTACAAAAAGTCTGTAGATTTCTTTCCTTGTAATGTCTTTATCTGGCTTTGGTATCAAAGTAATGGTGGCCTCACAAAATGAGTCAGGAAGTATTCCTTCCTTTTCAATTTTTTGGAAAAGGTTGGGAAGGATTTAAATGTTTGGTAGGATTCACCAGTGAAGGCAACGGGCTCAGGGCTTTTCTTGTTGGAAGACTCTTGATTACTGATTCAATCTCCTTCCTAATAATAGGTCTGTTCAGATTTTCTATTTCTTGTTAGGTTTTCTGTTTCTAGGGATTTGTCCATTTCATCTAGGCTATCTAACTTCTTGGTGCATAATTGTTCATAGTACTCTCATATCCTTTTTATTTCTGTAATGTCCCCACACTTCAATTTTGATTTTAGTAATTTGAGACTTCTCTTTTTCTCTTAGACTCATCTAGCTAAAGGTTTGTCAATTTTGCTGATTTTTTTCAAGAGCCAAGTTCTGGTTTCATTGATTTTCCTCTATTGTTTTTCTTTTTTTTTCTTTTTTATATATATATATATTTTTTTTATTTTATTTATGATAGTCACACAGAGAGAGAGAGAGAGAGGCAGAGACACAGGCAGAGGGAGAAGCAGGCTCCATGCACCGGGAGCCCGACATGGGATTCGATCCCAGGTCTCCAGGATCGCGCCCTGGGCCAAAGGCAGGCGCCAAACCGCTGCGCCACCCAGGGATCCCTGTTTTTCTATTCTCCATTTCATTTATCTCTGCTGTAAATTGTTTATTTCCTTCTGCTAGCTTTGGGTTTAGTTTGTTCTTTTTCAAGTTCCTTAAATTGTAAAATTGGCTTGTTGATTTGAGATCTTGTTTCTTAATGTAAACATTTATAACTATAAATACATTTTTAAAAAGTCACATTGCCTAGAAAGATGAAAGGCAAATTCCTCTGTTTCCATTTTCCTAAACCCATACTCCCAAATTAGTCACTATTAATTAATATAAGATCCATGAAAATAATCATATCTATCTTAACCACTACTGCATTCCTAATAACTATGTCTGGAATATACTGGAAATAAGGATTAATAAACATCTGTTGGATGAGTGAATCAAAGCATACAACATTGAAGTATATAAAATATCCTAACACTATGGTTCAAGAATTCTTTTAATAATACTTTCATTTAAGGTAAAATTAGAGTGCACTGTTATTCTGGGATGTTTATTCGTAATGTCCATACCTGATTGTTGGGCTTGGTGGATAAACATTTCCCAAAGTAAAGGGTTTCTGTAACACAAAGGCTGTTACATGCAGGCCCATCAATAACTCCAGTCTTGTACTTGTCACACTAAAAACCAGGAAATAGAAAAGCAGTTAATAGAAAACTGTTTTATAAGAAGAAACATAATAAAGACAATATAAGGAGATACCTGTATTCTTTAGGATGAAGTTCTATAATGAAAAGAACTCAGACTCTGGATTTGGACAGACTTGAATCTGAATCCAAGCTCTATTCTTACCAGCTATATGATGATGAGAGATATTGCTGCGACCAAAGTGTGCTTGGAATTTGGAAGCTATTTTTCCCCACTTAACATGGTCTGAGGTGGTAAGGTACCTGCTTCCCCCCTAAGATTAGAGGCACACTTTAAAAATGGCTCTGGTTTTAAAGTAAGAAATTAAAGTTTTAAATACGAAAATACATAAAAAACAAAATTACCAAAAAAAAAAAAAATTACCTCTGACATCTGGTCATCCTTGAGATCACCCAAAAATAAGAAAATAAGAAAAATAAACACAAACTCCATCTTCAACAAGATATCAAGGTAACCCTAAGGCACAATTAATGAGGATAGCCTGCCAAATTCAGTGAAATTACACCAGAGTCCAGAGATTGTTGAGATTAAATAACTGCTGTGACTTTGCTTCTCAACATTGGCATAGCACCAAAGAGATGAGATGCAGAACCATCACCCTGATTTACAATGTAGGTTTAAGGGGCACATGCTGTGGGAACTTTCAAGGAGTCTATATGGCATCACGAAGTAGCAGGACAAGGCAGTGCTGAATGATAAATTCTTTAAAAATATTATCTATGTTGGAGGCAGTCTGTTAATGAAATGGGTTGAGGGAGAGTACATTATGAGCATCTCCTGGGGAGATAACACTGGATAAGCCAATCTGTGTATTTTTGTCTCTGTGTTTCTCGTTTTTTCTATCTCACACATGACATGCATACACACAAACTCTGGGTCATAGCAGTCTCACTACTAGCACAATTCACTCCTCCAGTTGCTTCCTACAAATAGCTGGTTGAGGAAGAACTCTTTCATTCAATAAGGAGTAATAACCAAAGGAAAACAAGATCTACAGAGCAAATCTACAAGAAAAAGGAGGAAAGGAAATGAAAAGCTAATGTTATAAAAAGAAATTTTCCAGAAAAATGTTGCCATGAAGCAGGCCAAACATAATGCTGTGAATTCAAAGGACTTAATGAAACAGTTTAAAAAATAAGACCTCATGGTAGAAGAAATGATGAGACAACAGAAGGAAATGTAAAATAAGCTAGTAGAGCTCAGAAAGGAAGAAAAGGAAAAAAATCCTAGGAATTAAAGCCACATAAATGGGGGTGGGAGAAGGAGACAGACAAAGATGACAACACAGACTTAAACGAGGGCTAGGTTAAGAAAAGTGGGGAAAAGGCAATGGAAGTATAAAAAGAACTAAATATAATTTGAGACAATATTATAGATACAGGAGACAAAGGATATCCAGCATGTCCACATGAGGGAGAACAGTACAAGTGGAAAAGAAAAAATAGAAGTAGAATTCAAGGCAACTTCATGTAAAGTGAAAGGATACTTTATAGATTGAAAGGACATACAATATCCCAAGAAAACTGACATATAGAACGACCCTTGTGATCTACCCTATTGAATTTTACTAGACTTCAAAAATAAATAATCCTTTGAGCATTCAGGCAAAAAGATCAAGGCACCTTTAGAAGGAAATAAATCAGGTTGGCCTCAGATTTTTCCACAGCCACATAATGGTAGATAATGGTGCAATGCCAGCAAAGTCTTTGAGAAAGGAAGTGTGACTTGCCTGGATCCTAATTTTTCATTTGTAAAAGGGAATATGAGTAATGTTTGATTTATAGCATAATTATGAAGAGGGCATCCAGCTGGCTCAGTTGGATGTGACTCTTGATCTCAGGGTTGTGAGTTCAAGCCCCATGTTGGGCACAGAATTCACTTAAAAATACGTAATAAAATTATAGCATTATTATGAGGTAAAATGATATAATAATGAATACAGATCACCTGTGATTTTAAAAAGTGCTCAATAGCAGGTACTATTATTTTACACAGCTAAACTTTCTTTCAAGTAAAAGGCGTCAAATGTTTTTGAACATACAAGGATTAGAAAAACATTCCCTCTTAAAGAACTACTAGAAAATGAATTTTAGGTAACCAAAAGATGAACAAAGAACCTGAACATGGAAGCCAGTTGAAATATAGGACTGGGATGAAAACCCTGGGAATCTACTTCATAATGATTAATAAAATATCCAATATTACTAGATGCTTATTTTATGTCAGGCACTATTCTAGTGCTATACTTTCGTTATCATGAAAACAAACCTGTGAGGTAGAGCCTATTGTTATATCCATTGTAAAAACAAGGTAAGGTTACATACCTAAAAAATGATAAAACCAAGATTCCAACCTAGGCAGTCTGGTTTCAGAGCTCATTCTCATAATAGCTACTGTATATTCTTCAGAATGTTATTATAAACAATTTTGTTACTTGTACCGGTATAAACAAAAACCAAGAAGGGAAGATGTAAATAGATGGAAGGTGACAAAAGGATGTTGATTTCTTTAATACTCAAGGTCAGGAGATAACATTTACATCTTATAAATCAAGTAACAGAGAGAAGTCTATTCAAGGGGCACCTGGGTGGTTAAGTCGGTTAAGTGTGTGCCTTAAGCTCAGGTCATGATTCCAGGTTCCGGGGATCCAGCCCTGCATCAGGTTTCTGCTCAGTAAGAAGCCTGCTTTTCCCTCTGCCTCTGCCTGCCGCTCCCCCTGCTTGTGCTCTCTCTTTCTCCATCAAATAAATAAAATAAATCTTAAAAAAAAAGTATATTCAAAAGTACACCAATGATCACTAGAAGAATTAATAATAATGATTGTTTAAAATTAGGCAGAACAAAGGAGATCAGATTAATAGAATTTTAATTTTGTCACTGCTTTTAATAGGTAGATTTGGTCTAAAGAAATAGAGCATAAAGTACATTTTTAAAAGTTATAGTATAAAGCTAAACACTAGAAGACCTAAATACAGAATACAAAGCTTCCTAAATGATCAAAAGAAACATGCATAAAACAAGAAATATACACCATCTAGAGAAAGATGCAAACCAAATGAATCCTTAAAAACAGAAAGTAGGTCATAAAATGTGATACAGGGGCAGCCTGGGTGGCTCAGCGGTTTAGTACTGCCTGCAGCCTGGGGTGTGATCCTGGAGACCCCGGGATGGAGTCCCATGTCGCGCTCCCTGCATGGAGCCTGCTTCTCCCTCTGCTTGTGTCTCTGCCTTTCTCTCTGTGTGGGTGTCTCTCTGAATAAATAAATAAAATCTTATAAAAAAATGTGATACAGAATTATGTCGTATATATTATATAAATGTCAGCAAGATAAGTTCATCTACTGAAAGAAGGATACCCTTAGAAAAGTGTCAGAAAAGTTGAAAATAAGGGACAGTACAGGTATATCAGGCAAACACAAAGAAAACACAATTAAGTCACAATTTTAAACCAGACAAGGTTGAAATCAGAGGTAAGGAAAGCATTAAATAAGGTTAAAAAAAGGGGGGGGGGGCTTTACAATGATAAAACATATAATCCACACCAGATATTACATTCATGAGTTTCTATAAGGCAAATAAAGACGTATTAAAATCCATTAAGCAAGATCTATAAGAAATAAAAAACAAAAAAAGAAATAGGCATTAGAGTGGGAGACCCTAGTTCACTTTTTCTAGCCCATGACAGATAAAGAAATCTACAAAAAAAAGGATATAGAAGAGCTAAAAAATCTAGTAAAGTAGATCTGTCTTGAGAACAAACTTTTCAAATGCCCATGGAACAATTACAAAATTAGACCAAAGCCTTAGTACATTCCGCTTAGTAGAAATGGCATCTCCAATCACAATATAACACATGAAATTAATAAAACATCCATCCACATATAATTAAATGTTCTTTTAATTCTTGAAAGTCAAAGAGAAAGTCCAATTTGAAATACTTAAGTATCTAGGAAATAACAATAACTGAAACTGAAAATAAAACAAATGATAAAATCAAAGAACCACTTAAAGAAGAATGCAACTTAATTATGTTAATAAACAGCAAAGAACAAAACAAATGAATTAAAAATTCAAGAATTTTGAAAAAATCTACAGAAAGCAGAAAGAAGTAATCAATATAAAATAACAATACAAGGTTATGGTATGTTGCTGTTGTTGCAAGAATTCCTCTGACCTTCATCTCCCAATCTTTACTTTGGATTTCTTGCTCTTTTCTGGTTTCTGCAATTACCTTTTGATGGTTTTTTCCCCAGAATTCTCCTTGTCTGTCTGGTTCTCTCAGTCTGATGACATGATGCTACTCACAGATCAATCTTGCCCTGCTCTGGTTCTTGGGATGCAGAAAATCTTAATAAACTGAAGTTGATGGATGTAGCCTTTTAAGCATGAGTCGCTTGAGAATGATAGGATGGCTGAGATAATGAGTGGAAGAGTCTGGATGTAAAACTAGCTAAAGAATTTGGCAGTGTCCAGGTGTGAAACCATAGGCACTGGACCAGAGTCTTTTATTAGAAGAAATAAGTTTATTTGCAACCTATTAGAGGGCCAACACTGGGCTTATCTTGTGTGTGTAATAGGGATTAAGGATAATTTACTGAGCCCTTCATTTTGGGGGCTTAAATTTTTCATTGATCCCAAGGAAACACTGAACCCAAGGATCCCAAGCCAAAGTACAGCCGAGTCTCTTAAATACTTAATTCTTGAAGACACCAGCATAGGCTCCTCAGTCTTAGCCACTGGGCCTCCCTACCAACACTTTAACAGTTTGCTGTGAGGATAAGGATAGCTTTGGTAGAGATGGAGAGCTTTGTCCATGTGAAGAAGTGCCAACACCTACAAACTGTTGCTCTTCAGCTGTCACTACCAGAGAAATTCCTGGTTAAGCCTTGACCATGCCTGCTTTCTCCTTCAGACCTGGCTGTAACCAAGAATATGAAGTTTCATTTTCATAGGAAGAGCAGAGCAAACTAGT